GAATTTCTAATATGATACTAAATTCATAATTTTAATATGAATGGAGAAAACATGAAAACATATAATAGTAAGGTTTTTCTAAACCCAAGCTGCGTGATTTTTTTGGTATGGTTCCATCGACGGTACAATGTGTTTAGTGATCAACTAACATAATATATACAACTCACATAAGTTTAGTCAGTTCATATTCAATTTTTATTAGTAAGCTGTCCTTTTTTTTATATACATTAGAAATTATATATGTCCAATAATTTGCTACAAGTGTTTAGTCTATAAACACCAAACTTTTGTAATATTAAATACACAAATAATCAATAAGCTACAAATTATTGCATATATAGTTTACCATGCTAAATTTTAAACACATGCATAATGTAGGCAATCCCTAGTAAAACATAAACATATGTTTTCCCCACAAAACTTATAATGAAAGTCGAATTTCCAAGAGATATATTCAGCCAATGTCTGGCCATCATTGGTAGATCAGTTAGTATGATGACGGAGAGGTCATCTCTTCAAATCCTAAGCGTGGTTTCCTAAGATGATCATACTCACGAAGATGACAACGAAAAGTGGAATTTGTAGAGGAAGTGAAAAGTTGGACAAGCTATTACAACAGTTGTTGCAACCACTTCTTTCACTAAATCCGTAGTAGCAGTGAGACCACAGACAAAAGAGCAAATTAAATCTATGGTCTTAGGTTTACGGGGAGAGAGGTGAGATTTTTTATGGCTTAATTGTCCCACATCTCTCACACTTAGATGGGATCCAAGAGTAAACATAAACCATTGTGATATTGTCTATTTTCCCCGCAACCACAATCCTCTGAGGAAACCCCTTATCTAATTCCAATTTCACCATTAGCTTAGTCGTACCCATTTGTGTCATATCTAACCATCGTTTATTAGAGAACATTTGTTCCCTAATTCTGAGGCGATCGAACTAATTCTCATAATAAGCAGCTAAATATGTTTTTTAATGTGACCCACACCAATACTGAAAACAATATCAGACAATGCTAAAGAAGTAAAAAGATTCCAAAGAGCAACAAACATAATGCATTCCAAAGATTCCAAGCCCTCTCTCCAAAACTCAAGTTCATGTGGGATATGATACAAACAAAAAAATTATCATAATTTACGAGTAAAAGTCTTACATTTCTTAACCATAAATCCGGATGGTAACGCATGGATGAGGCATGTTGATGGTGGAGAACAACGATAGAATATTCCGATCACATATTCCTTTTCTTCTTCAAACCATATATCAAAACATGGTCTAGAATTACCACCACTGAAATGCCATCTTTTAAATAAGATGGCGAGGTAGTGCGATGAAGATAACGGGTTTCCAAATCTACCTTTGATGTCCAAAAAAACCCCATCCTCTTTCACTTCTAGCGAAAGTATGTGAGAGGATCAGAGCAATAATTTTAACCACGTCCCAAGTGAAGGGACAAAAGGAGACAGAGGTTCAAATAAGTATAGAGAAGGAACAAAGGATGCCGGAGAGTCTTCAAATCGATTATGTTCTAGGGACCCAACATAAGTAAGTATAGCTAGACTCTCAGAACGATTAACTGGCACATATACCTCGCCGGATGATGCAAAGATTCGTTGTTGGGCAGAGATTCGACCTCCAATGTTTGCATAGTGTCTTTTTAGCAAATCACCAAAATTATGAAAAGCTTCGGATTTTTGTTTGATGTTTAGCAAATTCATCGCATCATATAACAAACAAAAACACAGGCAAAACTGATCAATTTTATTAACATGCAAAAAAGAAAACATTCTTAAAAAATCACACAAATAAACAAATATCACAAGAAACACTTACGAATAAAAATCAAATAGATAGGTGAAAAATGACAAAAATAAATAAAAAAGAGATAAGGAAAAAAAGCATATGGTTTGAAGCTTTGGGAGAGCAAGAGATTCAAAAGGTTGTTGAAAGCGTTTAAAAAGAAAAGAAGAAACGTTAAATTCAAATCTCAAAAAACATTTGTTTGCAGATCTTCCAGTTCAGGATCCACGACTTTCTCTTCCTTCTCAGCTTCGCCGGAAAATATCGGAGTTTCAAGCTCCGGAGGAGTCTACAGATCGAAACAAACTCAGAAAAAACAACAAAATAAATCTTTTCTTTTGTTGCAAGTAAAGAGAAACTGTGAAGTTACCGTGCATCGAATTAGGGCCCAGTTTATGCCTTTGAAGTAAGAATGATTCTTGACTTCGTTTGCTCCTTCAAGACAACCTAATCTCTTCTTCGGATCTCGTTGTAAGAGCCTAAAGATCAGCTGTTTCACTTGAAGACTTGCCTGCAAACCCATAACAAAATCAATTAAGTATCTCCTATATTTATTTATATGATATTAATTGATATAGTTAGTTAAGAGATTGATCCATTACAGGAATGCTTGCTGGGAACTTCAGGTCTTTCTGAAGAACATTGGTGAATGTCTTTTGTCTTGTTTTTCCTCTAAAAGGAGTGTACCCGTACAACATTTCATACATAAGGATACCAAGAGCCCACCAGTCCACTGCACTCGTATGGCCTGCCCCGGTTATAATTTCCTGTTCGTTCATTTTGAGACATTAATCGCCGGTTAAGACAGAGAACGATAGCTTAGTTGGTATAATGAAAATTGTATATACACTAACCGGAGCAATATACTCTTCAGTGCCAACGAATGAGTTTGATGCACGCATAGGTTCAGCCATGAAGATTGGAGTTTGTTGAC